GAATGACGTTGATTATGCCTTGGGGCGGACCGTCGACTGGCATCCTGTTTGATCTGTTGAGGTCCTGGGGGGCTGGCTATGTTCCCCCTTCTATGTACTGATCCAGGTGACCTGCAGCTACTAATTCTTCCAGATGTCACCTTAGGGGTGTGCAATTTTCAGTGCGGTGCCCCTTCTCATCATGGAAGGTGCAACGGGACCTCTCGTCATAGCCCCTTTGTGCTTCTCCCAACTTAGCTGGCCACCGAACGAAAGGTTCATTCTGTATCTCGCTGAGAATCCAGTATATGGTTTTATTGAACACGGTGGTGATGGCGGTGCAAACTCTTAAGTTCCTCTTTTCTGGGTCTTCTCTATTGGCTCGCCTGCCTCACCCATTCCCGTGTGGCTGTTCCACCGTGTTGACCTTCGCTGTAGTCTTTTTATCTGGTATTGCTGTTGTGCCAGATTTTGTTTTAGCGCGGGTGCTGTCTTCTTCTACACGGATATGTTGATGCACCCTCTCTATTAGGGCCTCCATCGTGAGGGGTGGCGTTATAGTGATTGAGTCCCTCAATTTGTTTCTGACTGGTAAACCCCATTTGTATTGTGCGATAGCGAGATTTGTAGAGCAATCCCCAATCTGGTTGAAGGTCTCCCAATAACGACTATTGTAAGACCTCAGTGTCTCATTATCACCCATATCAATGAAGAGTAGCTGATCGATCTCCACTGGTGTCTTGGTGTTCATTCTGAACCTAATCACGAACGCCTCTACTAATTGTGCCCACGAGGCAATGTTGCCTTCTGGTAGCCTTTCGAACCAGGTTAAACTTAGATCGCCATGGCTGGATGGAAACATGATACACATCAAGGCCTCGTTCTGCCGATATACTGCCATAACCTGACGGAAGTGGCTTAGGTGCATGTAGGGGTCTGTCTTCCTTTCATAGGTAGTGAATTTAGGCTGGTGGAAGCCCGAAGGTAGTGGTGCGTTCTCTATTGCTGGAACGAATGGCGAGCTCTATAGCCTTGCTAGTACCTTGTCCGCGGGCTCCTAGGCGAGGCGCGGCATTGGCATTCCTACCTAGACACTCCCACGTGTCCTAGGGGCCAATCGCTGTTGTGCTGAGACCCTGTGAGGGTCGCGAGCCCTGGTGTCTTCCCTCCATCGGTCCCTCTCATCGAGCACCATCTGTAAGTCTGCAGACCTGGGCAACTCCGTGTGCCTAGATGTCGTCTGGTGAGTGTGCGAGGGGTGACAGTTGCTTCCCTCTGTACATGACCTTTCAGTCCTTGTTCTCTCAGACCTGGAATAACGAGTCTTGGTAGTCCTTGATTGAGTGTCGCCTGTTCTAAGGCTCATGCTCTTTGCTTGTGATAGCGTGGTATGCCTGTTATGACCTTCCGGGTGGTGAGGGGGCGTGTTGCCTTGGCACCCCTCTCCTATCGCCACCTTTTTTCCTTTTATCTGGCGCTTCATTGTCTCCATGTCTACCGCCATCCTCCTTATTAGTTCATCTTGTTCCCTCACGCAATCCTCTAGAATTTAAGGATCCAACCTTCGCCTCTGTCTTTCAGAACTTTGAGAGCGACGGGGACTAGTGCCTCGCCTCTACCGCGTGTCCCTCCGGGAGTTCTGTCGCTAGGGTTCTAAGTCTGCCATGGGTGGGATGGAAGGTAAACCTTTGCGCCTCCCACCCCCCTCCAGGGTTTGTCCATCGATAGCAGATTGCGGTAAATCTTCATTGTGCGCCATTGCTTTCAACGAGAGAGAAAAACTTGATCAAGAGGTTTCGTTCTTTCTATATTTCCCACAGATAGCGCCAATTGTATGAGCACAGAATAATCTTCTCGTATAATCCTGTTGATCAAGTTTGAGCTCCTTTAAACGTCGTCGCTTTACTCCCTGAAAACACAAACCTGAGCTAATAGGCGGGTGTGTGCCGGATACCTTTTCGATGCCTAAGTCAGCAAACTAGTCAAATAGTTCTGTGTATTCGAGAGTCAAAATTGTGATATCTCTACATAGGTTCTGTTATGAGCTTTTATAGTTTTTGCCTGGCACAATCCTAGTAGGACTCCTATTCCTCAATGTAAAGTCCTCATAGGAATCACACTCCTGAAAGATAATGCTTATCTTTCAACACCCTCCTCACTACTTAATCCAAGTGAGATGGTTTTACTACGGTTCAATAACAGTATGACTAAGCTAACACTAGGCCCTTTAACATACTCAATCTGGTGCTTTCATATGCAACGCCTAGCTCGGTCCCTATTCACTTATACCTCGGTTTGGCTGTTTAGACCGAGCTAACCGCAGTAGCCCCGACCAAGCTAACAAGGTGAGGTTCAATTTGTGAAGCCCAAACACCTCGGCCCATAGCTTGGCCCAAACTTCTCCTTGCCCAAGCTCGTTAGTATTTAGACCAAACTACAGCAGCTCATATCTCGGTCCGTCATGCGGTCTAACTTCCAAAGAAGCCTCTTCCTTAGCTCGGCCCAATTTATTTATAAATTACCCTCTCAAAATCAGTGATTATTACATTATAGCTTTTGAAAGTTGGAGCAGTCATTTTGTTTTCTTTGGTGCTGAAGCTGAAATAGACAAAATGCAAATAGTAGATACCAGTAAAGGAAGTTTCAAAGGACCTTGTTTAAAGCCAAGAACAAAGTCAATAAATTCAAGCTCTTTTCACCTCCTTGAGATATCCATATCTACGACTAAGAGACACCCCTCCTGAATGGATGATTGGAGTTAATGTGTTACACTTAAAAAAGAAGCTGGTATTTCTTTCTTCATAAATATGATTTATTTAGAAAAATATTCAGAATTTAAATAGAGTTGAATTTGTCTCCGGTCCACTGTAACAATTAAGAACATCAACACTTGTTCTTGAGTACAAAACTCAATAAAAAAAATTAATTTTGATAAAAATACAATCATAACAAACCTTTCAGTCAATCCTAGATATGACAGTAACCAAATAGGAAGAAAGAAAAAATAAATAAATCCCAAATAGAAGGAAGGGAAAGTGAGAGAAAAACTTCTGGAACTTTAGTTATGAATTAAATATCAAATATTTACATTCAGTCGTTACATTCTTTACATTCATTCATTACACCTTGGTTGTTTTTCCTCCCTGTTGTTTTTCTTTCTTTGTTTTTCCCCCTCTTCAAATGGAACACATAATAGACTTCTCAAATCATTAAATCATAAAAACAGGGGCAAAAGACGCTTCTTTTGCAAATCAATCACTAACCATAAATAAAACCTAGCATTTACATACCCAATTCTAGAATTCATTAGGGTTAATCACTAAAACAACATATTGATTAAAAATCACTAAAACAACATCATAATTCCATATAGAGAGAGGGAGAGAGAGAGCAAACCCAAATAGAAGGGGGAGAAATAGGAGAAGATATTGAGGCAGATGGAGCAATATTCCAGAAATAGAAGAGAGAGGAAACCCTAGATTCTTACACCACCTAAAAAAAACAACAAAAACAACAGGGGTGATAGCTTTCTACCTTGGAGCTATGTAGAGAGAGAGGAGACAGAGATTGAGGCAGATGGAGCTATATTCCAGATATATTCCGTCGGAGCTAATCACCACCAGAGAGAGAAAGCTTGGTGAAAAGAGGAAGATATATTGTGGGAAGAGGAATAGGTGTGAGAGAGCGGAGTTTCAAATTTTGAAATCAAAAAGAGAGAGAGAGAGAGAGAGAGAGAGAGAGAGAGAGAAGATGTCTGCGTGAATATATGAGAATTTAAAAGCTAAATGGAAAACTAATCTGAACAATTGATATTCAGCCAAAAAATCTGAACTATTGAAATGTCCAAGTGAGTGAAACATTTTCAACCATGGGATTGAACCAATCTAACGGTTCATACTTTGACAGATAGACAAAAGTCCCATCAAACATTCAAAAACCTTCTTCCCTTATTATATAGATATAGATATATGTTTCAGCTATGATTTTTCTGAAAACAATTTAATTTGTTTTTTCTTCTTTATATTCTTATGGTGGAGGTAGTGGAGGCAGTAGCGGAGCCAAAAAATCAAATTAGAAATGGCACTTATTAATTATAATATCGAAAATTTTTACAAAAATATTTTATGCAAGTTTTTACTATTAATTTCGAGAAACATCAAAAAAATAATGTTATTTATAACTAGTATATCATGGACAATATTAAAAAATATAGATTTAAGTCTTAAAATAAATCATATAATGATAAATTATTTTTTTATACAAAATTTGATTAAGAATTCAATATAACGGTAATATCACGCCATTATTAATATGTGATATCACCAACTAATAGTAAATAAATACATAGAGAGTGAACCTCACAAGTCAAATGTAACTAACAATCTAATAAATTCCATATCTTTATAGTAAGATTACTTATACTTGCATGTCAATACTAATAACATCACCGTTACATTCAAAAAATTTCAATCAAAATAACCTTGTTCTCATAATTTTTAAAATGTCATTCACATTTCACTCTAATAATATTTTTATGATTTTTTTATTTAAAATATTTTCTTTATATTTGCCAAAAAAAAACCCAAAATTTAGGGGGGGCACGTGACCCCCTGGTCCTCACTTCCCTCCGCCGCTGGGTGGAGGTGTTGAAAGTTGCAAAAGAGAGAGAAGGTGGCCATGGTTGGTGGAGGGGGAGGGATGGAGGAGTTTGGTGGAAAACAAGGAAGCAATCAAACAAAAACTTCATTATTACATTATGGAATATGTATTTATTTATCACATCATTTTTGTGGAGCTTTTTGTATAAATTTTATGTATAAATAAAAAAATTCATATATGTATACACATTAGCTTATTATCAAAGAAACAATCAAATATAACAAAATATTTTCTGAAAAAAAAAATTGCACATGAGTGGAGTAAACCTGTATTTATAAATGTTCTCTCTATATATATATATAATGTGTGTGTGTGTGTGTGTGTGTGTGTGTGAAACTAATGAAAGTTCATTTTGAATTCAGTTGGCACTGGCAAGCCATGCAGCTCTATCACCTAAAGTTTATTGGAAATCCATGTTGCCAAACACTCCCATGCCTATGACTATTAAGAATAGTCTGAGCCCTGGTTGGTGTTTGTGTCTAGACTCCTTGCATTTTCTTTTTTTTAAATTATTACAGTTGACACAGTTTGTTTCCCGAGAAAATATAGGGGGGAATGTGAAATCTTGCAATTTTGTAGAGGCTATAATATTACTACCAAATAAATATACAAGTGTTTAGTACTAAATAGTTGTAGAGCATTGTTGTACAAGCTTAAAAATTAGACCTAATTTTTAAGTTTAATGATGTGACAATCAATTAAAAAAATTTAAGGTAACACTTTTTTTTTTTTTTTTTTTCACGGGAGTAAAATCCATTAAGGATAAGTCAAATGGCACTTACAATAGGCTTCATATCTACACAAATAGAGCTTCCTCTAAACAAAGAAAAAATGAGCAAAGCGGCACATAGGTAAATCCATAATAGCATCAATGACATGATCATCTAAGATCCTAACCCGTATTGCAATGCAGTAGCAATCATAAGAGATTAGCACTAGGGTTAGTCAAAGATACCACAAAAGCTTCCACCTCAAAGAGGATAAGCTACCAATAACACACCTATGGAGTCCAAAACATACAAAATATCGAATAAAAAATAAATAAGAACTCAAAAAGCAAACCAAACAAAGATCTGAGGGGAGGAAGAAATTAGATCTGGTAGAGGAGTGGTCGTGGTGTGGTGATGGTGGTCTCTGCGGCCAGAAACGACGATAGGTGGCAAATCCGGTTGGGGTGTGGTTGTGATAGCAAGAAGCTATAGATCTAGCTTCGGCTGGAAGGGGGAAGGAAGAGAAACTCAAAATCATCCACTCTAGGAGAAAGAAACACCTCACAAGAAGGGAGAGATTGGGAAGAAAGGTCTTCCAAGGTTTATTTTGCCAAAAAAAAAAAGGAGAGTGGTGGACGAAGAGAGGCCGGAGCCCCCCTTCTCCCTCCGAAGTGGCACACTCACTCAAACAACCCTAAGAGAAAAACTTAGAGAGAGAAAGTGTAGAGAGAAAATTCCTTAAGCCACTTAAACTAGATCAGAGTTAATAATAGTGAAATTGTTGTAACACTCTTTTCTCAATCATCAATCAATCATATCACTCATACATCATTAAGTCTATATCATTTTTCATAGTTGTAAGACTTGTTGACGGAAATTCGTTCTTATAAGGCAGATAAAATTATCATGAAATTTTATGAGAAACTTGTAGAGAACCTTTTTAAAAATCTTTCTAAAACTTCAACATAATTTGAAGAAACTCGCAAAGTCTCAAGAATATTTTCTAAAAACAGATTTCTCGTAATTTTTACATTTTTATGATCTCCTAAAATATGTAATTATTTTTACAAGTTTCTCTATATGTTTGTTAAACATTAACATTTTAATAGATTAAGAAAGTACACTATCTTATTTGTCTATCCGGTTAAACACTTTTTTTGCTTTGCTTTTCTAGTAGCCTAACAGTATAAACTACAAAACATAAAAAAAGACGATAGAAAAAATGACATGTTAAAATTTTGAAGTCTAATATAAATGAAAAATGCTATCATAGAAAGTACAAATTTCCAAAATAATGAACATGGAGGCAATCACTTCTAATTTTTCATGTAAATTAGCAGAACTGGTAGAAGAGAAAAGCACCTCAATCGACATAGACAAAGGAGTAGACGTCAGCACCGGAAAGCCCCACAAAGAAACCAATGTCGGTGTTAGCAAAGATGGTGTCTCCGCCAGCACTGGAGGCAAGGGAACATCGGTACATGTTGTACTACCCAAACTACCCGGACCAGCACCATACGGATACTATTATGGTGCTACTGCTGACCGACTCCATGATAACCCGGACGTAGCTCTTTTCTTCTTAGAAAAGGACATGAAACTAGGCATGAAGATGCCCTCGCACTTCACTAAAGCCACGAACGCAGCTACTTTCTTACCTCGCCAGGTTTCGAAACAGATACCCTTTTCATCCAACAAATTGCCGGAAATTCTGAACCACTTTCCAGTGAAACCAAACTCAATGGAAGCTAAGATAATGAAAACAAGCAATCAAAGAGTGTGAAGATCCTGCAATCAATCATCGACTCTGTTGGTGATAATTACAAATAAAATACTAGAAAATATAAATAATAGAAATTATAATAATTATTAAAAGGGCTGAGGCGCGGGAAATTCGCTCTCTTTAAGGAGATTCAAGCCCTCTGCAGTTAGGCAAAGCCTCACACCGGTGCAGCAGAAAAAACCTTGACTTGTCCCCCTCAGGATACAACAGCCCAACTAAGTCGTATAGTTCACCAATACTGCACAATTGGTTGAACCCAAAGCTTTATCACACACACCCTTTTTATTTGCCTGATAATCTCACTCAAGACATAACAACACAATGAAAACTTCTTCTCTCGTATGTTCTAAGATATGACATAAGTTCAATATATATAGAAATGAAAACTTCTTAAGCAAGGTTCTTGATGGATAAGAATTGGTGGACTTGACCAAGGCCTTGGATGGCTTACCTTGGAAGTCTTGGAATGGATAGGAATGGAAAGACTTGGAGAAGACTAGGAAGACTTATTTAGGAAGTCTTGGAGACTAGAATGGGAAGCAAACTAGATAGAAAAGAAAAGAAAAACAACCTACATATTATAATATTAAAATATCTGCTAACAGATTCTAATGAAGTTGCACAATATTTCTCTGCCTTATATTTCAGGAGTGAAGAAAGCGAGCAGCAAAACTGTGGTGTGCCATAAGCAGAACTACGTGTATGCTATATTTTACTGCCACAAAACAGACACCACAAAAACATATATGGTGTCGATGACCCGTGCTGACTGCACAAAAGCAAAAGCAGTGACATTGTGTCATACTGATACATCGGCATGGAATCCAAAGCACGTAGCCTTTCTAGTGCTCAAGGTTAAACGGGGAACTGTTCCAACCTGCCATTTCCTTCCGGAGGATCATGTCGTCTGGGTTCCAAACTAGATCTCTGCAAAAAAGAATCGGCACCTATTAGTCCTGTTTGTTTTGGGTGGTTTGGATTGTAATAATTTGGAACTCTACTATTATAGTATCACATGCATACATGTAATAAACACCCACTATATTATACATATGCATAGGCATGTAGTCTCCTAACGGTGATGCGCGATGATGTGTGATATTGTGGTGTTTTGGGAACAATATAAAAAAGTTAACTTTTTAATTTTTTAGCCTTTTTACATAAAAATAAAATAAAAAATAAAAAAAATCTGCTTTTTTACACAAAAAAATCACAAAAAGTCAAAAAAATCAAAAAAGCAACCTTTAACTAATTTCTCAAAACACCCCATTATAATAGATATTTTACTCCTGGTATTTAGGACTGCAACTACTCATCATTTGCAAGAAGTGATACTTGAGAATTTTCTCAAATAAATACTTAAGACTATCGTGCCCACTTGTATTTCTTCCGGCGCTTAAATATTTTCAAGAACTAAATAGAATTCTTGAAATTAAGAGCCGTCCCCCAACAAGGTTGAAGAAACTATGAAACTACACAAAAGACATTTTTTCTTTTCTTTTCTTTTCTTTTTTTTAACCAGTAAAAGAGAAAACTTTATTGATAAAAGGGAAAACACAAAGTACGCACAAGTATCAATAAAATAAGAAAGAGCAAAAAAGCATCACAGCTAAGTTAGACATGTTGGGATCTGGGATCCCGCCCAAGACCTTATAGAAATTATTCTATGCAGAAAAACACACACACACTTAAGGAGACACAATATTTAACGTGGTTCGGCCTCAATGCCTACGTCCACGGGAGAGTAGCCGGTTATCACTATAACAATGGAGATATTACAGAAAGATTACAATAGAGGAGGAGCTCACACTCTCCTCACTCACCCATTCACCCGTCTCCCTCGCTCACACTGAGGGAGACGGTCTCTCCGCCTCACATATCTCACTCTCTGTGGCTTGCTCTGCTCACTCTGTTCTCCTCTCACCCATCTTCATTTATACACTTCAGAATGGTGGATGGAGGGGCTGGCCAGCACATGGCCAGCTTGTGCCAACTCCTTCTTCACATGGCTAAAGGTTGGCTTCCTAACATGGCTAGCTCATGTAGCACATGGAGGATCACCCCTCACATGGGGTGATGATATTCCACAAATCACCTCCTCAACCCATGTGAAGTGATCCACAACACACATTGCTGCTAATCTTGTCACGCCCAAATTCAACATAGTTTGCATCTCCTCACTGAGACGCTGCATCCCTTGAAAGCTAGAGATAATACACCAGAGATATAAGAGGAGGAGGGAATCCTACATCCTCAACTCAACTCACACCACTCTCTGATTTGGAGAGAACCGCTGCTCCTATCTCCTACAGATCTCTTCCACGCTTCCTCTCTCGGATGTCTTCAGCATAGTCTGCATCTCCTCACTGAGATGCTTGCACCCCCTGAAGCTAGAGATAATACACCAGAGATATAAGAGGAGGAGGGAATCCTACATCCTCAACTCAACTCACACCACTCTCTGATTTGGAGAGAACCGCTGCTCCTATCTCCCACAGATCTCTTCCACGCTTCCTCTCTCGGATGTCTTCAGCATAGTCTGCATCTCCTCACTGAGATGCTTGCACCCCCTGAAGCTAGAGATAATACACCAGAGATACAAGAGGAGGAGGGAATCCTACATCCTCAACTCAACTCACACCACTCTCTGATTTGGAGAGAACCGCTGCTCCTATCTCCCACAGATCTCTTCAAATGACAACTAGCTATGCTTTACTTTACAGCTTTTCTGTAGACTATTAACACTAACAATAAGCACTATTAAAATCCAGTTTCATGTTAGCCAACTTCCAAAGGCAGCCTCAAAAGTGTCTGAAAAAGCATGTATCTCTATCAGAAACAATGGATTTAGGTAGACCATGCAATTTGTAAACCTTCCGAAAATATAGTTGCGCACCATTACTAAATTTGTTGTCTTTTTACATGGAATAAAGTGCGCCATTTTGTAAAACATGTCGACCAACACATATATTGAATCATTACCTCACTGAATTTGGGGTAACCCAATGACAAAATCCATGCTGATGTCGGACCATGGATAAGATGGAATAGGCAGGGTTATGTAGAGACCCACTTTGGTGGTGGTCCCCTTTGGGACTTGGCACATGTGACAACCTCCCATGAATTTGTAGGTCTCTTTCCTCATTGTTGGCCAAAAGTAAGATGCTGCCACTAATTCATATGTCTTATCCCGACCCATGTGGCCTTCATTATGCTGCTTGCTGATAATTGTCAACCTTAAACTTGATTCTGGAACATCCCACTTAAGAACCAGTCTCCTTAGACAGTGTCTTTTTGACAGAACTTTCCTAGACCTTTGATCTTGAGATAATCATGTCTGCAATCCTCTGATCGCCCCTGACCAATCCTGATCTCCCTTGATTTGCCATTTGATCAAGCCTGATCTCCTCTGGTCTTCAATGATCTATCTCAATCTGTATCTGGTTGTCCAATCTGGTCAGAATCTGCCCATTCTAACCTCTTCAGTGAATCCGCAGCGTTCCACAATATCCAGCAACCTTCCTTCGAGTATTGAAGATGACAAACACCCATGTTTTGACAATCTTTCCAAACCGTTTAGAATTTCACTATTCTGACCTCGCGGTTGCGTCCGGAGCAGTCCGTTTAGCTAGAACCAATCTTTGCTGCATTTTCGGGGACCTCACTGAAAACTATCCCCGAAAGCTGGGCCACACCACAATTTTCTGAAAATTCTGGGCCAAATTGCAATTTTCAGAAGTTTAGGGAATATTCCATGTACCAACAGAATATTCCGTCCACTGCCCCTGATGCCGTTCGTCTCTTTAATCTGCCTTCTTTTTACAGAAACTCCGTCTCCAGAATCTGACCGTACAGATGTGTCCGGAATACTCCAAATAGTCGGAAATCACTATTGGATCACCAAAAACAGACTCCAAATGGCTTAGATCTAGCCAAAACATTTTGTACGCCTCAGATCTGCGGCTGCACCGTAGCCGCGAAGCACTGGATCCTTCTTCCAACGGCTACACCCTTGCCGCGTAGCACTGGATCCCTCCCTGCCTCTGGTTGACTGGTCAACACCACTGCTGACGTGACAGACACGTGGCACACCTGTGCTGACGTGGCAATGCTCTATGGACACGTGTCGATGACGTGGCTGGCCACGTGGCGGTGCCCTGGCTGATAACGTGGCAACCACATGGCAACTCTTGCAGACGTGTCGCCACGTGTTGATGACGTGGCACGCTGACGCGGCCTGCGCGTGTCTTACACGCGCCTTCCCCCACTCGTCTTCTTCCTTCAGCCGCGCATGGGGCGCGTGCGTGAGACTGGGCCGACGCGCCGACTGTCTTCACAGCGCGTGGGGCGCGTGCAGAGACTGGGCCTCACGCGCCTTCTTCAGGTGGCGCGTGAGGGCGCGTGGAGACTCCTCTCGGTGTCTGCTTTACATGGTTGAACTCCTCTTCTCGAGCCCTTGCTCCTGGTATGCTCAAAACCTGATTTTGAGCAACTTGATTTCTAGGCAGTTTCAAACAACACGCTGTTTTTGTTCCGAAACGCCACCAACGAGGCTCTGATACCACTTGTTGGGATCTGGGATCCCGCCCAAGACCTTATAGAAATTATTACATACAGAAAAACACACCCACACTCAAGGAGACACAATATTTAACGTGGTTCGGCCTCAATGCCTACGTCCACGGGAGAGTAGCCGGTTATCACTATAACAATGGAGATATTACAGAAAGATTACCATAGAGGAGGAGCTCACACTCTCCTCACTCACCCACTCACCCGTCTCCCTCGCTCACACCGAGGGAGACGGTCTCTCCGCCTCACATATCTCACTCTCTGTGGCTTGCTCTACTCACTCTGTTCTCCTCTCACCCATCTTCATTTATACACTTCAGAATGGTGAATGGAGGGGCTGGCCAGCACATGGCCAGCTTGTGCCAACTCCTTCTTCACATGGCTAAAGGTTGGCTTCCTAACATGGCCAGCTCATATAGCACATGGAGGATCACCCCTCACATGGGGTGATGATATTCCACAAGACAATCCCAACTAAGTTGACAACAAAAAGAGAGCAAAATCATATGTTGGTGAGGAACTAACCATGCCAAAGCAAAACAAATAACAAAACAAGAAAAGGAAAGCAACCAGGGACCTTTATACAAACCAAGCAGTAAATCAAATATCTTTTCTTAACTAAAGTAGTAAATCAAATATCTAAGCCAACAACTGCTATTAAGCCTTTGATGTCTGAATTATAAATGTGGTGACATGAATTAGAAAACGCTAAAATACCCTATCAATTTACATTTTGGAACACGTAATAGATATTCTGTTCCTAGTATTTTGAACTACAACTACTCTTCAATTGCAAGTGTTTGTAGGGAATTTTCTCCTGGAGCAAATATTATATACGACCATTACACTAGCAATTATCAATAACCCATATTGCTTTGGTGGCTAAAATTATGTAAACACTATTGCAACAACATTGAATTGATAGGCAAGTAAGGAGGCCGTCGAGGATTCTTGATAAACGGTTAAAAAAAAAATTATACAATAGTGTAATTCATAATTACACTTATGAGTCAATAACTACAATAAAACCTTCAATGTCTACATTATGAATGCTATAAAATGAACAATAATATTGAGTATCATGAAAGTAATATTATGAAAAAATTTCATAAAGACTCTCCACCTTTGAATTAGTTGTAGTGTTTTATTATATATAATGCAATCACCCTTAAATTAATTTTATAAAATTTTTTATAATATTTATTTCATGATGCATATCATTACTCTAAAATGAATTGGAAATCTTATATCATAATCTAATTATAATAATAAAAAAGATACTCACCCAAAAAATATATATATATTAAAAAAGAGAGGCAGTGAGTAATGCGTGTAGAAGATGGGAGCAAATTTCACTACAAACGATTTAGTTTGATGTGGTTTAATCAGAGCAATGATTCTCTCCTTGTCTTTCCTACTTCACTCTCTCCTTGTAATGGTCAAGATTCATCTTAAGAGAATCTAATGGTTCAAATCACTTTATTAAAAAAAAATTAAAAATAAAAAAATAATTTTTTTGGCTACGCCATTGAATTCTCTTAAAATAAATCTTGACCATTCCAAGAAGGAAGTGAAATAAGGTAAAGAGAGGATTTTTGCTCGTTTAATCAACCTTTTAAATTGGAGTCACTCTTTAATATAATCACTGATCTACATAAAAATATTAAATTAATTATTTTTCTACCACTTCAAACATATCTAATCCATCCATTTAATAAATACTTTTCAATTCCTAGATCAACAAATATACCCACAAAAAAAAAAGGTTAAAAAATACTAAGACTTTAAGAATAATGAGTTAGAACTAAGATTATATATAATAAGAGTTTACAAATTTAGATTATAGAGATGATAAGGTTAATAATTTATTATACTTATTAATATCATTATATTATTAAATTATATATGTATAATATAAATACAATATATATAGTTCAATTTAGTTCAATGCACAAAATGCACAAAATACACAAAATATATATAGTTCAATTTAGTTCAATGCACAAAATACAATATATACAATACATATATATATATATATATAATATAAATCAATGCACAAAATGCACAAAATACACAAAATATATATAGTTCAATTTAGTTCAATGCACAAAATGCACAAAATACACAAAATATATATAGTTCAATTTAGTTCAATGCACAAAATGCACAAAATACACAAAATATATATAGTTCAATTTAGTTCAATGCACAAAATGCTTGAACTGATATCAAACTGAAAAAATCAAAAAAAATAAAAATTTAAAAACTGCATAAACTGATTTTTGTTAAAAAAAACATATCAAATATAAACAAGTTCTGTCTGGTTCAATTAGTTTAATCATTTTTTTCAATTTTTCTTACATTCCTAACAATACCGAATTAACACTGCATTAAGCAAGAGAAAAATATCAAAAGCATTATAAAGACAGAAGAATCATCAGATGTAAGGAAATTCATAATGTAGTTACAAGTTTTAACAGTGAATGTCTCTAAGCAATCTCACCGAATTCATTAACAGACTTGTAGAATTTTCTATCACTACAAAAAATTAAAATTTTAAAATCCAAAATTTAAGAAAAAAATTATTTTGTAGAGACCAAATATTTTTGTTACGAAAATTATACTTTTAACAACGAAAATTAAACATTAATGATAAATTATTATCTTTTTGTAACCAAATTTTTTGTCTCAAAAAATAAACCATTTTAAAACCAAATTATTTTGTCCTTAAAAATGTATTTATAGGTGACATTTTCAAAATTTTGTCACTAAAAGCCTAATTTTTAAGTTTTCAAAACAATCTTTTAACAACTATCCTCACAACAATAGAAATTGGTCCATAAATGCAACAAAATTTTCACTTTTAAAGACCAAAAAAAATGGTCTCTAAAACTCTTGTAGTGTATCCATCTTTGAACTCTTCTCATTTTTATTTTTATTTTTTCCATTTTGGTAAGTAACAAGTTTATTAGAACAGCGTTAAGGGATGCCTCTCAAATACAAGAAAGAGAACCAAAATAAATAAAAGCCAAAAATACAACTAACCGCCTCCTCATGTTCCTAAGAGCTTGACAAAATCTAAAAATGGTCCAGAGATTTCAAGCTTAGACGAAGGAGCGTCTATACCTCATGCTTATTATTGATGCATCTTTCTGAAAATTAACTTTGCCTCGTGCTTATGTTTAATCTTTTACAAAGCCAGTCCCAGCCCCAAAAAGTATAAGAGTTGTTAAGTAGCCTGCCAGCCAACAAAATCCCCATCAGATCCCTTTTGAACATGAATCCTAGGGCAAAATGAATTGTTGTAGCCGACCCCATTCGAGTGTAACACAAGGCTTAGTTTGGTTTGGTATCTTTCTGAAACTTAATTACATCAAGATCTAATCCCATTTGCTCCCTAATGATAACATCAAAATCTACATGCCTGCTCTAATATTTTCACAAGCAATATCAAGATTCCAAAGACAGCTTGAAATCCTGGAATGGTAAGAGCCTTAGAAGAAATAAGAACAGAACCGAGTAAGCCAACATGATTATCACCCCGTAATGTTCCTCTGGATGGCATTTCTCTGCTCAACTTAAAAACTCCTCTGGCTGTTTACAGTCTCAACAGCTAGAGATCACGTCAAACAATTAGCCCAATCCTTAACATGGTTGATCATTCCACCGGTGTTGTCACAACACAGACACAACACAAAAGCCTCTTTTTTCATCAGGCAATGCCAACTCTATTATCAGCCACACATATCTCTTAGCACTTTATGAACACCATTTGACATTTCTTTCAATTGTTTTAACCCAGAGCAAGAGATTGTGTAGCCAGAGACCATAAATAAGTGTGGAGATAGTGTCTGTTCACCAAATCAGAATATAAGAATCATCTCAGACAGTTTGATCTAACCATTCCAATAAGTACTTATCCTCTTTATTCTACTGCAGCACATAACCTCTTCTATCATATCTGCATGACAAACACGCCTACTAAATGCAAGTTGCATGACCAACAACCCTACTTCTACAATATTTTCATACCACAGTATCACCATTTTTGTTCAAGTGTTCACCAAAGTCCTGAAACTTCTTGTAATATCACCAGTTCAGAATGGAAGGAGCTCCCAGCATCAGCACGCACAAGGAAAAAAAGCCACAATATGCCATACCATCCATCATATAGAAGGCCTAAAATCCAAGTACTTAATTCATTATCAGTCCATGGAAGTCACTCTTGCACAACCATAATTGAAGCATCACGTAGCAAGGAAGACAAAAGTAGTTGCAGAACTGCAGTTCATGGGGCAAAGTAGTCTCCAAGTCCATTACCCCAGGCAAAAATTGGTTTGACCAGAATATAAGATTGCTTCCACTGGAGAATAAGATAAAGATGTACTCATTATTAGAGATTAGAACACCCTAAGCATATTTTGCTTTAGACTAAATAACAAAGATGCCAGAGACAGGTTAATGCAATTACCACTACATGCATTGGCCCAAAACACCCTTTGCTTACCAATGTTGACCATCATAATTAGAGTGAAAAGCAACCACAGCTCCTCGTAACCTAAGGATTTGGGATAGTAACTTCATCTGCATGTTGTTCAGCCAGGAAAGGCTCCAAAGATCCCCATGTTCTCCCAACCATCAATTTGACGTGCAAAGGAACTAGAACAAAAATAGAATATTTGATAAGAAACCAAAATATATTTACAAAGTACCAAGAGTAGGCAGCATGATATCAATCCACAAAGATAAAAGAAGCTAAAGAAGGCAAACAAATAATGAAGATGGTAAAGCAAACCCCCAACATTCAAAAGAATCAAAACAATTCTCAAGGGTGACTATGAAGAACTAAAGGGTAAAAGCAAGAAACATGTTGAGTAGATTTTGAATACTCATACCAAGAAGCGACACAGCTCTTTCCATGCTCATTTGAAGCAACAACCCAGCTTCCTTTACAACGGAAGGATCAGCTTCCAGTACTAATTCATCGTGTACCTGGAGAGAAAACTCCTAGCATGTCAGATTTCTGCCAAATGGATTCCATCTCACATATCAAAAGTAAAGCAAAATCTTTTGGTGACTGTAATTTAAGATAGTAGGTGCTTTAAACAAGACACAAAAGTGGCAAAGACAAATAATAAAACACTTTATTTTATAGTGCTGCCCCCTTCTCAACTAGTGTAAAACACTCAATTCATGTTTGCCTCTTCTCAGTCTTAATGTTCCCAATGTGAAGACTAGAAAATATCACAAAGTTTAGAGAGCATTTTTGGTAAGTCATATGGAGTTACTTATCAGTAAAATGCAAGTTATACGGAGTGACCAAGGTTTTCATATGGAGTTACTCTTCAACAACCACAGATTATCCACGTTGTTTAGAACAATATTTGTAAACATTAGGATGTATGGTCTCAACGTTCAGAATTTAGCAAAAGGTGGTCAACTGTATGGAGAATAGGAGAAGATCAACACTTGATCACCCCTCCCCTAGCTTCTAGATAATCAAGTTTTTTTCATCTTATTTAAGCTATTTCTCACACAGAATATATATATAAATAAAAATAAAAAATAAAAAATAAAAACTACAAGCAACTCAGATAAGCTGCACCAAACAGACCCAAAAACAGTTCATACTTTCAATCAATAAAATCAAAATATTCATTGTAAGTTGCCCTATCTGGAACTGTAATCCTGTTTCCTTCCCTGCTTCTTCTACTTCAACAACTGGCCGTAGCTTCTGGAAATTCGGACAAACGGGGGAGGAAAATGCTGTCTTTATTTCACAACAAAACTCTGGTATGCTAAAAACTAAGAGAAGCAGGTGTATTATTGAATCAATTGTATTCCAATTCCATGATGGCCACAGATTGACAATGTGTATGAAATTTATAAATTAACAGAAGAACAATTACTACATAATTTTTTATAAACTCAGGCATATTAGAGAAGCATCCTGTCCGACACAGGCAAGACTCCTCTTGTTAAGGCTGCACTACTATTAGTATTTTCTTTATCACACATTTTCCATGATCGTGAGGACCACTTCTGATAATATAAATGAACAAACAAGTAAATAAAGGCCTCCAAAGTCACCTGTAAAAGGATTCTGCAGCGGCCCCTAAGCATGTGGAATTGTTCTGCAAATAAAGTGCTAGGATGCGACCTCCCAACTTCTTCAACAATCAGAGAGTGTATATTGATCATTGCAATTTTGATTATGTCAGCAGCAGATCCCTAGAAAGCAGCAAGCTGAGTTAATTAATGTTTTCTTTTCCCAGCCACCTTTTAACAATTCAATACCACACCATCCAGCCCCAGCCCAGGAAAAAATTATAAAACAAAAGACAAATAAATAAAACACTACCTGACAAATAGAATTGACAGCTTGTCTCTGGGCTTTAGATTTTTCTTTACTGTTTCCGAATTTTATTTTTGCTAAAAAGCGCTTTCTTCCTTTAAGGGTCTCCACATACCTGCAGCAGCACAACATAGATATGTAATATAGTTCATGTAAGTTATAACCCATATAGTGATCTCGGTTTTTCCTTCTTTGTTTATTGTATTCCGGACTCGGTTCCGTAAATGTGTTGTTGTCTTATTCCCATTCCCATCCTTCACTCTTGTATTTGAGTCTTGGATTGTGTTGGGCAAGTTTGAAACATGTTGGTTGTGTTTAGAAACCAAAAGTTGATGCCCAGATTTTGGCTTTCACGCTCGAGCGGGGCTTTTGACGCTCGAGCGGGCCTTTTGCTTTTGTTCCTCCGCTCGAGCGGGGAGTTTTAACGCTCGAGCGGGATTATCCAACCCTCAGTACTTTTCTCTGCAGGTCATCGGACGCTCGAGCGTCCACTTTCACGCTCGAGCGGAGACTTCGTCTGTAGAACTTCTAGAAGTGTGCATTCGACACTCGAGCGGCGCTTTTCACGCTCGAGTGTGAGTCTATGTCTGACGCTCGAGCAGGGCGTTCCACGCTCGAGCGGACTGTGTATTATATCAGTCCGAGTTTTAGCTTTTTGAGCCACTTTTTCGACCCACTCTCTCTCTAGCTTTTCAAAACCCAAACTTGAGAGCTTCTCACTCTAGACTTCATCTTCTCTCTAGGGTTTCATCTAGTTCTAATGGTCTTCTACCCTAGTCCCTTTGGAAAAAAGGGTGGAGCTTCGCGAGGGCCTTCGCTTTAATCTGAAAAGTTATTGATTTGGAGCACTTTGAGTTTCACCTCTCCTCCTTTGAGCTTCGAAAATTAAGGTAGGAATAACCTACTCTATTCTATGAGTTTTAACATAAATTTTGGTCATTTGGATTAGTTGGTGTTTCTTAGTCATTTTGAGAAAGTTAGGGTTTGATTTGAGGTTATAAAAAGGGGGATTTTCAAATGTTAAAACCTATGTGTGTATGAGACATTGAAAAATGAAATTGTTGTTGTTAAATCGATGAAATTGAGGCTTTGGGCTAATATTGAGAAAATGGGGAAAATGCCCTAATTATGTTGAATAATTAATTTGGGAACTATGAAATTAAAGTAAAATTCATGAAATTGGAAAATTGTGGGAGTAAATGGTGTAGTTGGATAATTTAATCACTCACCTATGAAAATGTCGATATTTTATCTGTTGATAAACTTATTATCTGTTTAGAGATAACTGCTTTGGGCTATCGGTGGAAGATAGTCTTGATTGTTGTAGACATTGTCTGGTGATTAAGAAAAACTGAAACTGAAACTAATCATATTGAATATGTCATTGAATATGACGGTTAGAATATTACAGCAAATGTGTGTATTGATTGATCATTGTATATGATAAGTGTTTAAATACATTGTATATGTATATTGTTTGGGAGGAGATAAGAGATGTACTCCATGGTTTGAGAGGATATAGGGGATGGACTCTCAAACCTGTTTGGGAGGAGATAGGGGATGGAATCCACTGATACAACAAATATGTGTATCACTTGACATTTGAAAGTGTTGAAGTATGGAAGTGTTTCAATATGAGTTATATTCTCATGTGAATTGTGAAGTATGGAAGTGTTTTAATATGTGTTATAGTCTCATTGAATTGTTTGGCCAGATTCTGAGCCATAATTATGAATCGAAGCTGTATAAGTGAAGGAAACTGAAATGAAAAATAGATATACTTGATGTTGAATTGAAAAGTGTTGTAAGTTGGTTTATAAGTGTCAACCATATATCAAATGCTATTGTTTTAGTTATTTCTCATACTTGGTTTAGTATATCTCCACTGGGCATTGGCTCACCCTATATGAGACATCATTTTCAGGTTCAGGTGATATGCCACCTCCAAGGACATAGCTTGGGAGGCTTAGAGGCTGAAGATCCCTTTTTGTTGTTTACCTTTTTGAGTATTACATGTAAATTCAAGCCAAGGGCTTAATGCGTATGAGTTAGTACTCTCTTTTTTTGTAACCAAGTGTTGGCTTGGAAAGTTGTAAGCCCGTAGGGCATTTACTTTTGTTGTCAGCATGTAATACTTTTGTGATAAATACTCTGATAAATAGATGTACACTTTATTCTCTTGAATATATTGTCAATTTCTTGTATCATGAATGTATGAATTATGGGTTTATTTTGGGGGCATTACAACCGATAATTGAGGAAATCGATGCCAATGACAAGACATTGGAGCTTAGTAGCAGGAATCGTCGGAATGGGAGACGATTCTCGTCTAGAATTGCGATTCAGCGATTCGTAGCAAGATTCGTGATAGAATCGCGTCTCCGTCGAGATAGAATCGCGGATCTAACTAGATGGGAGTGATGGCGACACAGAAAATGGGAGAGAGAGAGAGAGAGACCAGGCTGCGAAGAAGCAAAGGCTGCAAAGAAGCAGCAGCTGCTGCTAAGGTTATGCTGCGAAGAAGAAGCAGACCAGGCTACGAAGAAGCATCCGAAGAAGAAGCAGCAGTTGCTAGGGTTGGGAATTATAAACATAAGAGTTGGGCTTGGGATTTTTATTGGGCTTGAGATTTGTTTTCAGACTCATACAAACATTTGTATGGGCTTATAAGCTATAAACATAAGAGTTGGGCTTGGGAATTTTTATTGGGCTTAGGATTTTTTTTAGACCCATACAAACATTTGTTTGGGCTTGTGAGCTGTTTTATTTATTGTTTGGGTCACTAGATGATTTGTTTGCATCATAAATAGGAGAGTTGGGCTTGAGATTGTTTTTCTTCTCCTCTCCCTTTCTCTTCTTTTATTTTATTTTTGTAAAAAATAAATAAAACAAATAATTTTTAACAAAAACATTTTAAAATAAATAGATAAAAATATAATATAAATATTTTATAATAAATGAAAAAAATCTAATAAAAGTATATAATTATAATATTTTAACATATGATTTTTTATAGTACTTTTTAAAAAAAAATAAATTATAACATATTTTCATTATCATTAGAGGAAAAAAAATATATAATCTTACAATATATTTTTATATATTATATTATTTAATATATATATATATACAAACGCTCCCTACTAACGCTTCTTGGAATATCTACGATTCCCCGATCCCGCTCCCGCTCCCGCTCCCGCTTCGTGCAACTAAGCATTGGAGAATAATAACTTCTAAAATGTGAGAGAAATATGAAGACACAAACCGGAAAGGCCTTCAGTCCACACAAAAAATTATGAAGAAAAAAGAAAAGAACAGAACGAGGGTGGCTTAGAACACATTGTCATGCAAGACATCATGCAAGAGGATTAATAAATAACCAGGCCATTTTAAAATTTTCTAATAACCGACTAAGCAAAACTGGAATTCGTGAGGGTCCTCTGCAAAATTTCACAAGCTTAGACTCACTAATCTTATGATTTCGTATTATACCCTACCAAACCTTGGACAAATCAATGAATAGCAAGCAACTAGAGACATATTAGCCTCACCCTTTCTGACGGCAAGATGTCACAGCTTCTTGAAGCCAGGAAGCAACACCAGGAAAAGACCTTTTGAAATTCTGAATTTTCTCAGCTGCATCATCTAAACTGCAGTCAAGCTGTTCGGCAAGCGTATTAGGACCCATACCATACAGAATGCCATAAACCAACCTTTTCGTTTGATCTCGCTCTTGGGAGCTAACATTAGATTCCTCTTTCCCAGTCCATTTTGCTGCTATCATGGTAAAGACATCACCATGAGGTTTACTGAGAAGTTCAATTAATGAAGCATCTTTTGAAAAGTGAGCCATCATTCGCAGTTCTATCTGAGAATAATCTGCAGCTAAAAGTAACCAATTGTCCTGCCAAAACATTTTAAAAATTAAATGAACCAAGGCAACTGCTGATCCTCAGAGACATAGGTATTTATATACAAATTGAAATCACACAAATCATTACCTGTGTAGGTATGAAAAAATCACGAGCATTTATTCTGTAATGATCTACATTTGAATCATTTCCGTCTTTCTTATCGTTATTCATTCTGAAGTCAACCATATGCTCAACACACTACATATCCATAAGCTCCAATTATTAATTTTCACTTTGAAATAGAATACGAAAAATGAAGGGATAAAGAACAAGGAAAAGAAATGACATGAAGAAAAGAATGGATGGGAAAAATAAAACCTGAAGATTAGGTTCCTCCATTGAAAGTCGCCCGGTTGCTGTAGATGTTTGGAGCCAACGGCCATGCAATGTGTACTTCTCTGTCATTGAAAGCCTAGCAAGAGAACAAATTGATCCCAATGTACAGTTTAAGAGCTTTGCCAGAGTTCGATGCTCTTTAATAACAGGAATAATAGGATGTTCATGCCTGAAATCAAACCAAACCCTTTAAATTTACATGGCTCAGCAAGTATGAAAAACATTAACGGAGAAACAAGTATTAGAACATATATGAGAGGAGAAATCAGCACTAAGCGCATCAAGCATATCAAGGTACACACAAGCATCACTTCATCAGGGGTGACCATTAAGATGTAGAACAGGATAAAGAAAAGATTCTTCTTGCTACCTCAACAAATCCAAACAGTGCTTGTCAGTGCTTGGGTGTTGTTTTGTTTTATTGTACCCTTCGGGTATGGGCAACTTCAAAATCCCATAGAGTACATTTGCAATATCGGCCGCTGTATGCAATGAAAATGAAATACCAGCCAGTTTGTAAGCTTCCTTCTCAAGATACCTTAGTTTCTTTCCCAACACCTGTCGTGCCCGAAGGCATCCGTCCATGTCAACACCTATTCCACAGATCTCCATGTCCGCAAGAACATTAACCTGAAAAGACAAGCATAAATCAAACATTCACAGCATACCTACTTAAGAGCAGAAAGAATAAAATAAGATTAATATAATAATAATAAAAACTCCAAACCCTAGTCTGAACTTGACTCTAAGAACTCAACTATAGGTCTTCTAAAATTCCACTGAAAACATTTCACGTCTTTAGTGATGCAAAACCCAAGAGCACGAGGACTTCCCACCCAGGAAATTCTTATTATTATGTTGGAAATAAAGTATATCAATGACCAAAATCAACCATCCTACAAAACAGTGCAGTATCTAATTTACTACATTAACTCAAAATATTTATTTTCTGACAAGAAGAGAGCATACTGTAAAGACAAACGGTACTACCAATGGCCTATAATCTTATCTTTCACCCTCAGATACTATAGTTTGATCATCAATTCTTTGCTCAACATTCATATGCATGTCTCACATAAAGGAGCACAGGCAAAAGAAATAGCCTATTGGGTAGGTGGTATAAGAATTCTCACCAGTGGAATTTCAATGCTTGTAAGTGCTTCAACAAGTTCTTCAGAAATTAGCAATTTCCAGAGAACAGAACATAGGGCTCGGATTTGCGCAACTCGACGGCAGCAACCATTATGTGCAGCTCTTCGCATCTGATTTTTCCACCTACCACTGCGACTGGCAGCTGCTGCAGCCTCACTGGATAACCTTTTCTTAATTACCTGTAATAGTATTACAGCTTCATAAGCCAACTTAAATCATGATGAAGTTTTAAGAGATTCCCAAATAGAAGGATATTCAAATTTTGATTGTATCTCAGTGATGGATATTGTTCTAATGGAAAAATTCTCTTACACTAAAAAAATTCAGATTATAAATTTCAGTCTCATAGTTAATCCAATTCTCAAAGTTACCTTTTCCAGATTTGGATTGGAACTTTTCTCCTCATCAGGCCAAAGGATCCATGCTACAATGCACATGTCAATTCCATCTTGTACGTAAACTGGGTGCAACAAATAGTATATGCTGTCTTTGAGCTCAAGACCCATAGTTTTCACTGCAAGATTCAGGCTACCCAATCTCTGAATGGAAACAGCAGGAATTTTTAACACCTGAATCTGAATTTTTAAATTCCAAGTAAACTTTCTGACATCTTTTTTTCCCATGATCATAACTATCCTACTCCATCTTTGTTTTGCCACTTCGAACTGATGCTTTGGTGCTAATACATCGCTGCCATCACCAGAAATAGATATGGACAAAGAATCATTTCTTCTGCTGTCAAACCAAAATATATCCTTGGGAAGATTGACATAGTAGACAGGAGAATTTCCCCAGCAAATTGCTATGCCATGTATTTCAAAAGGGACAGTCGAGTTCACTTCAGATCTTTTGTTAAGTGAATATCAAAATAGAATTCTCTGGTTGAGTCCCAAAGATCCAAGAACGAATCAAATCCACCCGGAGTATTAACAGCATTTACAGGACCTTTCTCAGAAGCATTTTCCTTATTGTCAAGACATGCAGTTTCTCGATCATTTTGCTCCTGTCACCAAGATCACAATACTTATCAACTTTTCTGATCTCATTACCAGTAGTTCTTACAAGACTAGAGAAGGACGTGTCTGCATTATTAATATGTTCAATAATTGTATTAACCTCACCAAGAGTACCAGGCCTTCAACTACTGCTGCAGGATTTTCAGCACCAAAATTAGTCTGCATGGTACCAGTTGATTTTGCTTCATGTGGAGTCCCTAAGCCAACACCTATGGTTTTTGCTGACTTCTCTTGTCCAATTTCTATTGTAACTTTATCAAAATTTTCGCATCTTACCAACGTTGACTTGGCTGAAACATGCTCTGTATGCTGTACACCAACAAAGCTACTAGTACTCTCTTCCCCAGAAGAGGTAGTCGCCCCTTTTTGAGTGGCATCACCAGCAGCCTTTAATACAGGTTGAGGTAACTGGGGAACATCAAGTCCAAGAGATTTGAAAGCTGTGAAGGCAGCAACCCTTGCCTCTTCAGCTTTATCAAGAACAATTTTGCGTGCACCATTCTTTATCTTCTTGGCTACCCCAATTGAATCCGCCGTTGTGCTGAATCTTCAATAGTCATGTAGGCAAATAGTCAAAATCAGAGGATATGAACTGGAGGAATGTGGTCCAAATAAAAGAAGTGGAGGAAGAAAATATAATGATATAACAGAGGAAAAGTGAAAGCTCTAAGAAACAACAACTAAAACATATGATGATACTATATTTAGAAGCAAGCAAAGGAAGCACAAGAGAATGCATGTGTCTGGCGATACTACATACTGTGCTATTATATGTTCACAACATTAAATTGAATAATTCATGCCAAAAAAGTCCACACACACACACAAGATTTCACCTTGTGCAGCCCATGATGAAGATTCAAAAAGAGCCTTGACAATTTCAGATATTGATGCTACACCAATTGCTTGAGGTGTGCGCAACCCAGCTTTATAAAGTTGTCTAGCTCGGGAACCCTAATAAGGAGAAATACAATAATGAATTAATGATAATCTTGGCAGTAATAAACAATAAAAATAATCTCTTCAATGAGGAAAATCATAACTTAACTAGGTTGCTAATGAAGTTTTCAAGTAAACATCAATTGAAGTCCGTTTGGCTATTAAGGTCATAAGTTCCAATTAATTCCAAGCCTCACAAAAAGATTTTAAGACAGAAAAATATTAAATGATTCATGTATACAACCTTAACATATGGAATGGTGGTAAGCTCTACAATCTCTGCCCGGACTCCAAATGAAACACGATTTTGGAATTTGGAAACCAAACCTTCCAGATCATGCCAACCAAGCCTCTCACAAAACACAGAAACCATAGAAGCAAACCTTCCAGCATTTTCTTGTAAGGCCTGAACCATGCCTCGTGCCACTTTAAAGGCTTCACAAACCTCAGCCACAGGACTTCCTTCAGACCAATATGAAAAGAATATATCACGAAAAGTAAATAAATGCAGTTCGTTAAGCAATTAATACCACTCCACATACATAAGGCAATTAAATAGATCAGACCAAACACATCAATAGGAGATGAATTTATATATAGGACTGAAGGTTGAAAGAGGTAATGGCATTATGTCTTTCTTAGAACAGACTGGTTGAAAATGAGAACAGTAAAAGAAGACGTCAATATATGCAAATTGGACATCTCCAACCAAATAAAAGCATATGCGTATCAACACAGAAATTGTCTCTATTGAGCACAGATAAGGCATGCAATGATGCGATGACAGAAGTTCGGATCTTGCAATTCACTTTATTCCGTTTTGAGTGTGTGTGTTTGCAGGTAGTTTTTGTCTGTGGAGGAGAAGAAAGAAACTTGAACAGGCCAGTATTCATGACACATATAACAAGGCATTCACCTGCACAAGTCTTGACAAGATGAGAGCAACATAGAAGCGCTTGCACACTCGAAGTGTTTGCTCATCGGAAAGCATACTTTGGTTTGCCATCCCAACTCTGCAGTCAGATCTGCCAACAACCCTTTTGCATTATCCTTGATCTGTTTGAAGTGCGCAGTGGGCACCATGGGCCATACGCATTAAAAGGGTTCTAGCACTCCTACTTGTTTGCCAACCGACTGCATTTCATGAAATTAAATAATTAGTAATAAGCACCTCAATAACCACATAAACTATTAGACCAAAAGACGAGTTACATATAAACTAGAATAGGAGATTTCCCTCAGAACTGAGATAAGCCCCTGAAAACTAACACTAACAACATTCATTTGTATAAAAATTTGTAATAAATAAACAAACAGGACGCAAGGCATGACAAGTATCAAATCACCTGATGGTCAAGGAGAGAGAGAGAGAGAGATCATCACAAAATTGCCACATTTGAAATCGGAACGCTGATCAACAATCAATTTGTCCAGTTCACGGTGTTTTCAAAACTAGAAGTTATGAGGAAGAAGAACTCGAAAATGTGAGGAAGAAGGAATATATTTCTGTTATATTTCAAAACTTCTTATCTTACAAGACCAAATGACACTCCTTATATAGGAGATATTACAAACATCATTATATACCCATTATATGCCACTTACATATTATATATTACCACTATCTACCACATATCATATTATATTACATGCCACTATCTACCACCAACCCACTATCATATTCTATACATGCCACTATCTACCACCCAACATCATATCATATTATATACATGCCACTATCTTATTATATACATTAACACAAATTTCAGCACTCCCCAAGCTGGTTTGAAGATATCTTCCATAGCCAGCTTGCTAGTCAGCTTATCAATTGCTTCTGCGTAGTTTCCTTCGTTAGCACATCAGCTAATGTTCACCTGTTGGGAGGTAGGTCATACAGATTATGCCAGCATTGATTTCTCCTTGATGAAATGTTTATCCACTTCTATATGTTTTTGTGCGATCATGTAGAACTGGATTATGAGCTATAGATATAGCTGCTTTGTTGTCACAATAGACCTTCATAGGTGTCGGGTGAGAAAGCTTTAATTCTTCAAGAATTCTTTTAATCCACTTACTTCACAGATTCCATGGGCAACAGCTCTGAACTCTGCTTCTGCACTACTTCTAGCTACCACATTCTGTTTTTTACTCCGCCATGTAGCTAGGTTCCCACCTACAAAGGAGCAGTATACGGATGTTGATCTCCTGTCTGTAACACTTCCTGCCCAGTCTGCATCTGTGTATACTTCACTTGAAGATGTCCTGTTTCTTGAACAGTAAGCCTCTCCCTGGAGTTCCTTCCAATATCTTAAGATCTTATAAACGGCCTCAAAGTGCTCTGCCCCTGGTGAGTGCATGAACTGACTTACCATGCTGACTGTAAAGGCAATATCAAGCGCGAGTATGAGACAAGTAAATCCAATTTCCCTACAAGTCGCTGATATTGTTCCTCTCTTTGACTTCTTCAGCCTTAGCAGCTTGTAACTTCAAGTTAGGCTCGATCGGAGTCTCCACCATCTTACAACCAAGCATACCTGTTTCTCCAAGGAGATCAAGAACATATTTTTCTCTGATTAACGAATATACCTTCCTTGGATCTTGCAAATTCCATTCCGAGGAAATACTTGAGGGCTTCCAGATCCTTAATGTGAAATTCTTTTGCGAGTTTCTCTTTGAGGGCTGCTAACTCTGCTTCATCATTACCAGTTAAAATGATGTCATCAACATAAACAATCAAATTGCAATTTTACTGTTTTTTGAAATGTTTATAAAATATTGTGTGATCTGCTTGACTCTGCGAGAAGCCACAACTGATAACTGCCTTCCCAAAGCGTTCAAACCACGCTCTTGGTGATTGTTTGAGTCCGTATAATGACTTGTTCAATCTGCAATACTCTGTCGCTTCCAAGTCTCTGCTCAAATCCCGGCGGTAGGCTCATGAACACTCCTCTTCAAGATCACCATTGAGAAATGCATTTTTAATGTCAAGTTGATTGTGAGGGCCAATCTGAATTTTACTGCAAGAGATAACAGTAACTCTGATGAATTTATTTTAACAACAGGAGCAAACGGTTTCCTGATAGTCGAATCCTGTTACAGGTGTAAATGTAAAATTGTAAAATGTAAACTACGCACCCGCACCTACCACCTCACTACACCACTCACTCCACCTCCACTACCCTAACTCTACTACATCTCTCCTCTATATATAGAATGTAAACGATAAACATCTATAATACACATCCAAATCAATAATACATACAGTTTTAATTTTACATGGTATCAGAGCAGGTTTCAGGAACTAGGAACTTTTTCGCTTCACGGCGTGGCAAGCAACCTCAGCTTTTGGCCGTCCGCCGGACCTCAACTAATCGCCAGAACTTTCTACACATACTTGAAATATATTCGAGTCCACACCACTGCCCTCCTCTCACAGTTGAACCTCTTGTTTGTTGGACTTGGCTCACACCAGGTGTGAGCTTGTCCTGTGCTAGATCCGTCATAATTCACTTTGGAAAGTTCTTGGGTCACTCACAGGTCCAGAAAGAGTCCTTGCTTTGCTTCTGAGGTCCATTAGCCAGCGCACCACCAATCCCATAGATGTACTCAGCAATCACCTTCTTCAAGCATCATTGAAACGGTCAACCACTAAAGTGTCAGGTGGATAGGGCCTTTATATGCAGAGCATCAGCTTCCTCTTCAAAAAAAAAAAAAAAAAAAATCATGTATATCATCATCAACTATTGGTTTCAACAATAGTTGCAGCAAACCAAGCACCTTGGAAACCATCTTCATCGCTGCTAACTTCAACTAGCATTCCCTTTGGCTAAACTCATCCCTCCACCGTTTCTTTGCTAGGCATCACTTCATCTACAATTGGAAATATCTCTTCTTCCTTCAATGGCGGAACCCATTTACCCTTGACCCATTCTCTATGAAGCCGAAGCTCCTCCTCCCAAAATCAAGCTGCTCTCGTTTCGTTCCCTGAAGAAAACAGAGTACCTCTCATTCTCAGCACTTCAGTAACTCACTCCCTCCCCACCACCATCATTATGATACGCATCCACCTCCTCGCTGAACTTGAAGCTCCGGCGGCTCTCTCGCGGCTGGAGGCCTGGCCTCAGCTGCACCACATCCAGCGGCTATGCATTACCCTTTCTGTACCTCCTCTATCTCGAGCTTTAGCAAGAAGCATTCTTGCCCTCTCAGGTGGTAGTGGAGGTGGTTAGGATGGGTGGTAGTTTACATTTTACAATTTTACATTTTACTTAGTTTGACTGCAGCAAGCAAGAGTTCAGGGTTCTGAGCATTCTTCTTCCTGGCCATGTTTGTTTAACAGCAAAAAAAAAAAAAAAACAAACAGTGGATCTCTGACACTCCACTCTCACCCACGTAGCACTCACACCCCCACTCACACACACTACCACGGGATTGACAGACACACATGATCAACCCCACTCCCTTTCTCGTATTTTAATATATCTTATATATATATATATATATATCTATGTTTTTTTATATATTACACAGCCATCATCCTCTTCTCTCTCTCCCGTCACTTTCAAGCCCACGGTTTTGGAATCAAACCCAGCATATAGTTTCCAAGCACCCATGTGGGTATTGTCCCCTCTCTCCTCCGTTTGATTCCCATTTTATTTATTTTTTTTATTTTTTTTTTTTTTTTTCCATTATTATTATTATTATTATTTTTTTTTTTGCAACAAAAAAAAAAAAAAAAAAAAAAAAACACCCAACACAGGCAGTGAAGACGAACTTGCACACCACACACTCCCTTTTATTATGTCGGGGCTCCCCCCATTCACCCATTAACATAAAAAAAAAAAAAAAAAAAAAAAACAACAAAACAAAAAAAAAAACAAAAAACACACAAAACAAAACCACCGCACACC